ATCATTGGGACCAATTTCCTGTCTTCCAGAGTGCCCCGGATCGCTGGGCGCGGAAGGCGTAGACACGTTATCAAATGTGCCAGTGGCTGAAACAGTATGGGCTGATGCAAAAATTGTTATATCAGTTGGCCTAGGTGGCAATGGCTTAATACGGATTTTGGCCGTTCCAATCGGTTGAGAAGTTAAAGGTGAGACTCGGGAGCCTGAATGGCCAGCAGAGGAAGACTTGTTTCGCGAATTCGATGTATTAAATGCAATGAAAGAGGAAAATGCGGAGGCAATGGAAGATGGGTGCCGTGGAGAGGGAATAGAACTAGTGGCGGTTTGTGATTCAAGGTCGTTTGTTTGGAAAGATTCCGAAGCGGGTAGATCAGATGGATTTCGCCGAGATAAGGCAGATGAATCTCTTATTTGAGAACTAGATGCTGCTAAATGAGAAGATGAAGAAGAGGATGAGGCCACAGAAGCCACAGAGGACTTAGATATTGAGGAAGAGGACGATGAAGTAGAGGACTCAGAATCCTCGTCGATGTTCGAGACAAGAGAACTATGGGAAGTATTAGCCTTGGGAGCAGGAAGGATGCCATACGTCCTTGAAGCAGCGAGACCATTTGGCAGCGTTTTTTTAGCTATATCCTTGTCTTGCCGACTCATCGGGCCTGTACGAGAACCTCTAGACACAGCAGCACATACTTCAGGATCATTTGTGATCTTGACATCATTATAATCACTATCTTCGACAATTCCCCTTTTATCTCTGACAGATATGTCAATCATTTCAGTGGATATTTGACGAAAGGAACGAGATGCCGATTCTGTCATAGGTACTGAAAAACGAGCCCCTACTGGGGACACAGTAACTCCAGATCCAGCAATAAATGAAGATGTTGAGACAGTAGAAGTAGAGACAAGATTGTTGATGCTTACCGGTGGCCAAGAAGCATCAACTGAGAAGAAAGAAATAATTTAAGTATTAATAATAGGCGCAATAAAGCCAACGATTCACTTAAGACGGGCTTCTACTAACAAGATTAATAATTTTCTTATTGTAAATAAGATTAAAATGATGTGGCTTATAGTTTGATAAGTCTTGTTTCGTTGTATAGAAATGACCTTACCTCGTTTTCGTAACTTGATTGGGTAGTCAAGGCGACCTCGAAGACCGTACCCGATAAGGCGTTTTACCAAGTCCTTCGTCTGACGTGGTAAATTATTATGAATATTACGTCATACAAGGTAAATTCTTCGAAGTCGTCCTAACTACACGGCCAAACTACTAAAAGAGCTCTTAAAGCAGTGACAAGAAGATAATAGCAAACACATACCGTCAGCTCGTAGTTATCAAACTCAATATTAAATTTTTAAGAGTAAGTTGGTTCATACTCAAAATAAAGAATATTTGCACTTTTTATCAAAAACTGTATAACTAAATCAATAACATGAGCTTCACCAATTTTAAATGATTAGATTACATATATTTGAGATTTAACTGGATAAACAAAAAGCCATAGTGAATTTTAATTATTCCTTTTATCGCAACTTAACCAGAAGAAGCAATCAACAAATATGTGATGCGGCACCAAGTTGGGAATCTCTTATTAGACCGAAAAATGCTTGCAACTTTCTTAAATCCATAGCAATATTTTATAAGATAAATTCAAAAGTAATAGCCAAGCTATATTATAACGATGATAGTCGTTTTAGTATCCTTTGGCCTGGTGATTAAGTTATTTACGATAAAAGGAATAGAAGATCTAGCAAAAAACAAGTAGAGTAAAAACGGGATATTGTTTAGCATGCGATTTATGGGGCTTTATTGTATGGATATCATTTAAGCCCTTAATAATTTGCTGGCCAAAATCAAAAAGAAACTTACCAAGCACATT